TAATTTATTACCTTAAACGTTTGTCATGCAAAAAACAAGCCACATCCCTGGTAAAGCTAAGAATTTGAGTTTTTTGTTATTATATGAAAAGCATCTGCACAAACCAAAATATGAAACTTTTAATTGATACTTCCTGTGTATTATTATAATTTAATCCATTACAATAGTTACTCATAGCAACAATATGCAATTTAAATGATTTTTGTTTTTAATAAAAAAATCTTGCAACAATACCAAAACAGCACGACTGATGATTTTTTGAAAGACCCCTAGCGCTTAAAATTTAATTAATTGTATAAATAAAAAAACACTTTGTACAGGGTGTCCACTCAAACATTTTTAAAAATCCAGCATTTATTCCATCATATAGACATGTTTTTCCAGGATTTTGGCCTTGATAACCATAACTTTTTCACCATCATTATTGAAAAAGCACTTAAACTCCAACATTAATGATATTTCCAAAAGGATACAAAAATTATTTAAAACACTGTACTCATAAACGGGAAAAAGTATTTATTCTAAAACTATTACTAAATACAATATTTCTTTATACTATAACTGATACTATAACATATCTTAAAGGTTTTTATATATGCATGAATACAGTTGAGTAACTATGGCCGAGAATTTTTTTTTTACAAATGAATTAACAAATAACTATTTGAAATAAATAACTATTTTTTTAATTATCAATTACCTAGTTATGAAATTAAAAAAATTAATATGTAAGATACATACTATAAAAATAATTTTTTTCGTTCTAGTTAAGATTAATAAACTTCAAAATGTTTCAACAAGACAATTAAAAATCAAAAAAATTTAAGGAAGGAAAAACAATTTAAAATAATTATGAATGATAGCCTAAAAAAGAGTTCCAAACCATTTGCTAATACAAAAATTAACTTCATAATTTTTTCTTTTCTTTTCGAGTTCTTCAATAAGTTTTTCTATATATATATATATATATATATATATATATATATATATATATATATATATATATATATATATATATATATATATATATATATATATATCTATATATATATATATATATATATATATATATATATATATATATATATATATATATATATATATATATATATATATATATATATATATATATATATATATATAGATTTGTGTTTATATATATATAGATTTATATATAGATATGTGTTATATATATATTTATATAAGTATATATATATATATATATATATATATATATATATATATATATATATATATATATATATATATATATATATATATATATATATATATATATATATATATCTATATAAGTATATATATATATTTATATAAGTATATATATATATTTATATAAGTATATATATATATATAACAGTTGGGCTGAAAAGTTCGTATCGTTTCTAAGAAATGGCGCCACTAGAATTAAATTCATACCATTTTTAGTTAGTACCAACCTTGAAAAGATACCTGTAAAAATTTGACAGCTGTCAGATTATTAATTTGTGATATATTGCTCTAGTAGTGACGCTACTTTTGTTATTGTGAAAAAAATGGAAAAAAAAAAAATTTCGTGTGTTGATGAAACATTACTTTTTAATGAAAAAAAGTGCTGCCAATACCAAAAAATGGCTCGATGAGTGTTATTCAGACTCTGCACCAGGCGAAGCAACAATTCGTAAGTGGTTTGCAAAATTCCATACTGGTCATATGAGCACCAAAGACGATGAATGCAGTGGACGCCCAAAAGAGGCTGTTACCGATGAAAATGTGAAAAAAATCCACAAAATAATTTTGAATGATCGTAAAGTGAAGTTGTTGGAGATAGCTGACACCTTAAAGATATCAAAAGAACGCGTTGGACATATTATTCATGAATATTTGGATATGAGAAAGCTCTGTGCAAAATGGGTGCCGCCTGAACTCACAATCGATCAAAAGCAACAACAAATTGATGATTTTGAGCAGTGTTTGGAGCTGTTACATTGAAATAGAACCAATTTTTTTTGTCGATACATAACAATGAATGAAACATGGCTCCATCACCACACTCCGGAGTCCAATCGACAGTCAGCTGAGTGGACTGCACGCAATGAACCGACTCCAAAGCGTGGAAAGACTCAACAATCGGCTGGGAAGGTTATGGCCTCTGTTTTTTGGGATACGCATGGTATAATTTTCATCGATTACCTTGAGAAGGGAAAAACCATCAATAGTGACTATTACATTGCGTTATTGGAGCGTTTGACGGATGAAATTGCAAAAAAACGACCTCATTTGAAGAAGAAAAAAGTTCTGTTTCATCAAGACAACACACCGTGTCACAAGCCAATGAATACGATGCTTAAATTGAACGAATTGGGCTTCGAATTGCTTCCTCATCCACCCTATTCTCCAGATTTAGCCCCCAGTGACTTTTTCTTGTTCTCAGATCTTAAGAGAATGCTTGCTGGTAAAAAATTTAAGAGCAATGAAGAGGTGATCGCTGAAACTGAAGCCTATTTCGAAGCAAAGGAGAAATCGTACTACAAAAATGGTATCGAAAAGTTGGAAGATCGCTATAATCGCTGTATCGCCTCTGATGGAAACTATGTTGAATAATAAAACCGAATTTTGAAAAAAAAAAGTGTGTTTCTATTAAACGATACGAACTTTTCAGCCCAACTGTTATATATATATATATATATCATCTTTTTCTATTTTATTGAGGTAAAGGTATAAATAAAATAATCTATACTATTTTTTTTTTTGACTTATATTTTATTTGTGTTTATTTTTGTAAATGTATATCATTTTTAAAATTATACACCTGATGCATTTTTTCTTATTTGTTAACATTTTTGCCCTCCCGAGAAAAACATTATATCATGTGATTCATAATAGCCGCTTAATTACAAAATCTTCTATTATAAAAAGATATGTTTTTTAGAGAGTTTACACATAGAAATGTGCTAATTTATTTTAGCATAATTACCTGCATAATTATCATATTATACATTGTAACAGTTTTTTTTCTTAGGTTGGAATTTATTTAATTAGATATATTAAGTAAATGCCCCAAAAAATTGAATGTAAGGAAGTAAAAGGGGGATGGTAAGTATTTTGTATCAGCTCTAAGTGTTTAAGTTAACTTAATTTAACTTAATTTCAAACGCTTAAATTCTCCGCGCAGCGCAGAAATTAGGCGTTTAACAACTTAATTTCTCCGCGCAGCAGCCTTGCTTGTCAAGGTTCGTGTTTCGGAGTTAGAGAGTTGAGAAAGGGTTGTACCACGATTTACAACAACAACAACAACAACAACAACAACAACAACAACAACAACAACAACAACAAAAAATGAGTAGCCTCCCCGACTGTAGTGGCCCCCTCGGGCCATGGGGAGGTGAATAATTTAAAAAAAAAAAAAAAAAAAAGTTTTTTTCAAAGTCAAATTGTCATAAACAATGTCAAACATTTCTCATACATGTGCCATACCTTACTAGCTATCCCAAAAGATATGTTGATATATACTACATGCAAAGAACATTACCTCATTATTTCTTTGATGACCATATTCTTCTAGATATTGCAGAGTAACAAGGTGATCCTTTGCTCAGCATCCAAACCACTCTGACAATCTTTGCTAAAGTTATTTCTTACTTTATTACAGCTTATGGTTTCGATAACGATTGTCACAGTCTTACAAAAGTTCCAAAACTCTCTTTAATACCCTTTAAATAATTTAACAAGCACTTCACTTACCTGCTGGAATGACATATGTTATTTCGCCTACCTGCTAGAAAATAGAAAACATTGCTCAAGTTTTTAAAACTCAGCTCTGACTAATCTACTAATTGTTCAATAAATCTTATTATTATTAGCAAGGTTTTTAAGTTTATAATTGCAATATAACTATTTTTTTGTGCTGGCACGGGAGGTACTGCTGGCCAAATTATTTTCCTAGAACAGCCCCTGCATAATTACAAAGCTTCTAAAATCCAGAGTCTATTACCTTACTAACAATTAATATAAACTATGATTCTCTTTTTTTATTGCTGACTTGTTAACTGATATAACTGAAATATTGTGCATTAGATAGAAGCAGTTAAGCATGGACTTACACTTGACATAACAAAGGTTTTTAATAAAGTCTGACATGTTGGTTTTCTCAATAAGCTTTTTCTCATTTAGTGCGGAAAGTTGTAAAATTATTGAATCATTATTTTCTAATTGCAGTGTTAAAACTGTCTTCATTCTTTTTCGTTAAAATCTGGGGTGCCACAAAGTTCCATCATTTATCCTGTTTCTCATATATACTTTTAAAACTTATGACAATCTTACATCTAAAGTGGCTCATAAGTTTGAAGATAACACAATTTCAGGTAACTTCCAACTTATTTGTTGTTTGCAGCTTAGTTTTAGTTTAATTTATTATTATTTTAAATAATAAATTAAAAGTTCTGTGGTTATAGTTTTGATCAAAATATTAAGAAAACGCAAAAAAAAAATGATGTAGTGAAAAGTTTAAATTCAGTGAAGGCCACTGAATTTAAACCCCAATTCTGATAGATTTTGAATTGATGCAACCAACCATGTAAAATTGTAAATTTAACAATGTGTAAAAAAAAAATATTCCAAAATAGAAACAAAGTAAAAATAGAATTTAAAAAAATAATTGCTAAAAATAAGCTTCAAAAAATAAAAAAAATAAAACTATAAAACAACCAGATATATTTCCAGATAGTAAAAACTGGACTTAATCAAAACTATAAAAAAAATGCTAAAACACCTGCAATGAATTAAAAGTTGATCAGTATTTTCTAAATAATTAAATATTTTATTACATTTACTTTCACTTCATTTTCTACTTACATATTATAATGAAAGTAAAAAGAAAGTAGAAACCAGTTTATTATATTGAAATTACTATATTCATACTTACAACTACTAAATAATGAAACAATTATTGGATAAAAGTAATTGTTTAATTTGTTAAAAATTTAAAAAAAAAAAACTAATACTCTGAATAGATGCTGAAGCTCCGAATGCACAACATATTTTGCATTTATTGTTTGAGATGACAAGCAAGTGCCATTGAACTCTAAAATAGAAATATTGAGTATTTAACATTTAAAAACAAATTTTTTTACCTACTGAAAATTTTTTAATAATAATCAATACTCTTTTCATTCATAAATTTTTATAATTTGATTATTTATATTATGTCAACATTTACTTAAAAATTTTAAAAAATGAAAGTTTTGCTGATTTTATTTTAATTATTTTATTTAGAATTTGTTTTTTAGTTTTCAATTTAATTGTTGTTTACAATTTAAATAAAAGGTTGTACTTGGAATTCAAATAGAATGTTTGTTTTTTGTCAGTTTCTTTTGTATTAATTTAAAATTAAAAAAAAAAAATTCTTTTTTTTTGTTTTTATTTTAATTATTTTATTCAAAATTTTTTTAAAAAAATTTGTTTTACTATTTTTATTATTTTAGGGTCATTCCATGTAAAACTGGGACAGTCATTTCAGTCACCCCTTGGATTTTCTTAAAATTTTTACCAGTGGTAACTATTAAGGAAACATAAAAAAATGCAAAATTTGAGCTCCCAAATCCAAACAGTTCAAAAGTTATGATGTTTTGAAATTTAGCCTAAAACGTTCCTTTTTTTAGGAAGTCCGCCATTATGGATTTTGTAGTTGTACTTTTAATTGAATAATTTAAGATCTAGTGGAAGAATGTGGCTGAAAATCAGTACCTGACCATTTTTGAGGGTGCTGAATTCAAAAATGTAGATAAAATAGTGAAATTTAAATTTTTTGATAGTAATTTTTTCATTTTAAAATGGCCAGTCAAGTTTTTTGTTTTGTAACCATGGGTTGCGCTTTCATTAATTCCCGAAGTTGCCCAAGTCTCATGGATTCGATTTTTTTTTCAAATGAAGTAGGTGATCCTAGGCTATCTTTATAAAAAAAATGGTTTTGGGTTCTTAAAGCATAGAAAAGTTATTTCATTTTGAAATTTAGACAAAAAATTTCTTTATTTGGCATCTATTCTCTATTATAGATTTTATAGCGATACTTATTGTGTGAATAATTTAAGATCTAGTAGAGAAATATGACTGCAAATTGGTATCTGACCATTTTTAAAATTAACCCAATTCTTAATATTTAAAAATAATTTTTGAATTTTATTATGTCAACAGTCCTTTTTTTTTTTACCATAAAATCATCATTCTCTTTATCAACTTCATAAACCATACCAAGCCAGTAAAAATCGTCATATTTGCAAAATAGATATTGTGACATCAAAACATTGTCAATTTTAATAATTTCATATTTTTGTTTTTTGAGGAAGTCAAATGTTAGAGAAAAATGATCATCATCGGATACCCTTTTCATTTTTATAATTGAATGAGAAGATGGTATAAATTGATGGAAACTTCTTGTCCCAGGAATAGTGGTTGCTATTAAAAGTCTATCTGTAAGTTTGTTTCTTACTAGCTCCATTTCTTCAGCAGAGACATACACAAACGTAATCCCACTGATTGACTTTTTACAGTATTCAAACATTGCTTGAGAAGACAGTATATGACCTGTGGTTGGACTCTGCAAGCTAGCTGTTGCAACAAGCCTTTTAACAGTGCCACCTATTCCATCACATGGAGATTTACCATGGCTTGTTGCAAAGAAATTCCAGATGCAACAAACAGAAAAATCTTGAGCGTGGTGACATAAATTGTAAAAATGTTTGCAGTTTTTATACTGCCCTGCACAGCCATCAGAAAAATAATGAATTTTTTTAATTGTGGGACAAAGATGAGTTTTAATATGATTAATGGTTTTATGCATAACCTCATTGATAAATCCAACATCATGATTTAAATCATCTGAAATTACACACAAAGAAGATTTTTCCAATTTCACTTTATTGTAGTAGATGACAACTGGATGAAGGGAACATTGACTCTTGCTCCAATTGTAACTCTGAATCTCGTCTTGTACTACAAACGTGTAATTCTCTGCAAAATCTGCCAGTACAATAGCCTCATCAATACTAATTGTTTCTTTGAGATGCTTTAAATAGCTAGATTGTGATTTTGCTATAAATGAATGAGAAGTGATATTATCAAGTTTTTCACACAGAAGCTCTATGAATTCATTTAATGGAAGTTTTATTGTTAATAATTCAGTTCTATCTGTCGTTGTCCACTGTTTGAAATCCACTGACATTCATTTTCATCACTGTCATATTGCTCTTTTAGATCATCATTTTGTGCGAGATACTGCTGGAAGTAATTTTGGGCATGTTGTATGCCAGGACAACTATTGCATCGGTGAATCATGCAAACTTTAGATTTTCTGCTGCAGACAATTTTTTCAATAATTTCATGGTAAGATGGTTCAAGGCCTATAGCACTCAACATTAATTTAATATTTTGGTGTATTGTACACACACAAACAGAATGTGTACCTTTTGGACCAGCAAGGATGCACCATTTAGGTCGAAGACTGCAAAATCCAATTTTATGGCCTGGGTACTTTGTCTTATATGCCACATAGAGCTCCTTTAAGTTACACAAAATCAATTTTTTTGACATGTATTTTTTTCCCCCAACACTTACACTTTTCTTTTTTACCTGGCATTTGCCTTGAATACTCATCGTCACAGTAAAAAAGCTTTACAAGTTCTATAACATCTTTACCGATTCGATGCCGTTCAACCACATCAGGGTATGCTATGATGCCTTTTTGGTCGCGTAAAAACTTTAGAAACTGAAAACTCTTTTGCTGCTTTTTTGATAGACCAAGATTTTGGGGTTAATGTCAAAATTTGAAGTTGCTGTCTCCTGTTAGAAACCTTAAGTTTTTCTTTCATGCATTCTACAAGGAAGTCTAGATCGCCAGCTTTGGTTTGAATTTCCTTTAGAACTTCATTTTTTGGTGCAACAAGATCGGATTCGGTTATATCCAGAGCAGTTGCAAGCTTCTTAATAACTGCTTCTTCAACTTGCTTTATCTTTCTCTTTCCAAGTGAAGGCTTGTTAGAGGTTTTGGGTAAATGAACTTTTAAAGGAGACACTTCAAGTTCGCATAAAGTACTGTTGAGCAACGATCTTGTTGATTCCAGTATAAGATCTTTTTCCATATTATCTTCAGGTAATTTCATCTCTAACTCGTTCTCTTCTGATTCTTCACTTGCTAATTTATGCCTGCATTGTGTACAAAGTTTTTCACCTGGAACTACGAATTTGCCTTTACTGCATAGGTATTTTGCTGTATCCAAGTTGATTTCACGAAGACTACCTAAAAAAAGGGAAGAACTCTTTTAATATGTATAAAATTTTTAATAAAACCTTCAAAAGTTTAAAGTTGTATGGCATTTAATTGTGCACTTTCAGAAGTCAGCTAAAAGGTTAAATATAGCTAAAATAGAATTTTGCTGCCAAGAATTTCATTATTGTAATTCAAAACGTTTCTACAAAACTAAAAGTTTTTCTATAAATTCATGATTACTTTAAATACCTTTTATAGTTTTGTTATGAGTATTAAATGGATTGCAGCACCGTGTTAATTTAGTTGTATAACGCTTCAAATAAACATGTTTATGATGGAGACAAGTTGTTGGTTTGATATTTATTATTGAGAGCCCAGTCCTCCACATTAATATTTCTCTTTCACATTCAATAATATCTTCAAAAGGTTCGATTCCCAGCAACGATGTATATGTTGTAAGATGACATTCACTTTCTAGGTTGATTCCAATAGAGCACTTTTGACTGTTTGCCATGACTAAGAAACTGAATTACCAAACAAGATTTAATAATTATTTAATCTAAAATTAAAATAATTTTTTTTATTGAAATTTGTTATTATTAACTGTTGTTTTAAAACTATATTTAGACACATAACTGACGTCCCAAAACTATATTTACACATCACAGCAGGTGTTGCAAAACTATATTTTTCATGATAATTCACTTCACAAAATTTTATTTCTATATCAAAATCAACCTTAATAAACTGTTTTTACACACCACAATTGAACCCATGAGAGTCAGGCAATTTGTGAAAATGTTACCCCGTTTTTTGGTGAGGTAATATACCATTTTAAAATTCAAATATTATTTTAAAATATTAGGAATTGGGTTAATTTCTCTTCGTCTTTGTATTCAACACCTTTAAAAATGGTCAGATACCAATTTGCAGTCATATTTCTCTACTAGATCTTAAATTATTCACACAATAAGTATCGCTATAAAATCTATAATAGAGAATAGATGCCAAATAAAGAAATTTTTTGTCTAAATTTCAAAATGAAATAACTTTTCTATGCTTTAAGAACCCAAAACCATTTTTTTTATAAAGATAGCCTAGGATCACCTACTTCATTTGAAAAAAAAATCGAATCCATGAGACTTGGGCAACTTCGGGAATTAATGAAAGCGCAACCCATGGTTACAAAACAAAAAACTTGACTGGCCATTTTAAAATGAAAAAATTACTATCAAAAAATTTAAATTTCACTATTTTATCTACATTTTTGAATTCAGCACCCTCAAAAATGGTCAGGTACTGATTTTCAGCCACATTTTCCCACTAGATCTTAAATTATTCAATTAAAAGTACTACTACAAAGTTCATAATGGCGGAAGTGGAAAAAAATAGGACGTTTTAGACTGAATTTCAAAATGTCATAACTTTTGAACGGTTTGGATTTGGAAGCTCAAACTTTACATTTTTTTTTTGTAATATTGATAGGTACCACTGGTTCAAATTTGAAAGAAATCTGAGAGGGTGACTGAAAAATTTCAATTTTTTGTCCCACTTTTACATGGAATTACCCTTTATTTACAAGTTAAATGAAGCTTTTCTTTTTTTTCAATTTATTTGAAGTACTTGGTGTAGTTAAGGCGATTTACAAAATATTTGATTACTTTTATTTGGAATTAGCATGGTTTTGTCAGCATATTATCCCCAAACAAGATCTTTAAATGTTATAATTTTTTTTGCTCAAGGTTTTTATAATATTTAAAGAAACTTTTCTTTTTTATATATAATTTTTAAAATCTTTTTACAACCCGTAATAATGTATC